GTGATAGGGACTCAAACTCTGATCCTCAGGCTGCACAGCAAGCATTCTCATCTACTGCACCATCTCGTCAACCTGGTTTGTTTTTGAGACAAGTGCTCGTGTTGCTCAGGCTAGCCTCAAACTCCATACATAGCTGAGGCTGGCCTTGAACTCCTGATCCTCCTGATTCCATCTCCCAGATGCTGGAGTTTTATAGTCCAGTGCCATGAGGTATGACAGATTTTTATATGGATTATTTATTATTTAATGTGTATGAATGTATTGCCTGCATGTGTGTTAAGTGCACCCATGTCGTGCAACGCCAGAGGTCAGAAGGCGGCCTCAGATTCCCCTGGAACTGGAGTTTCGGGTGGTTGTTAGCTGACATGTGGGTACTGGGAATTGAAGCCGGGTGGGTCCTCTGCAAGAGCAGTGCTCTTAACCGCTGAGCCATCTCTCTAGCTCCATATGTATTTTTTATTATTTTTTCATTTATTTGTATGGGGGGCATATGTATGCCATGATGCACATGTGGAGATCACAGGGCAACTTGTGAGAGTCAGTTCTCTCCTACCATGTGAGTTCTGGGGACTGAACTCAGGTTATCAGGTGTGGAAGCAGGTGCCTTTACCCACTGAGCCATATTTTAGACCCTTGTATGTATGTATATTTTAAAGATTTATTTATTTTTATTTCATGTGCATGAATGTTTTGCCTGAATGTATGTAAGTACACTGTGTGCATACAATGCCTGTGGAGGCCAGAAGAGTGCCGAAGCCCCTGGATCTGGAGCTACAGATGGTTGTTAGCCACCATGTGGGTGCTGGGAACCAAAACAAGGTCCTCTGCAAGAGTGTCCAGTGCTCTCAACCACTGAGCCATCTCTCCAGACCCTCCTGCCCACCCTTTTGTGTATTTTTTTTAATTTTATTTTTATGTGTGTGTATTGCCTGCACATAGCTAAGTGCACCCATGTCATGCAATGCCCACAGAGGACAAAAGAGGCTGTCGGATCCCCTGGGACTGGAGTTACAGACAGTTGTTAGCTGCCATGTGGATGTTGGGATTCGAACCTGGGTCTTCTGCAAGAACAACCAGTGTTCTTAACTGCTGAGCTATCTCTCCAGCCCCACCTTTTGGGTTTTTTTTTTTTTTTTTTTTTTTGAGAGGGTCTTCCTGTAGCCCCAGCTGGCTTGGAACTCACTATGTAGACCATGCTAGCCTTGAACTCACAGAGATCCTCCTGCCTCTGCCTTCTGAGTGCTGAAATCACAGATCACAGGCATGCACCACCAGGCCCGGCTATTTTTTCTTAAAAAAAAAAAAAAAAAAAAAAAAAAGAACCCGGCCTGGTGGCTCACATCTGTCATCCTAGCTACCAGGAAGACTTAAGGCAGGAACATCCCAAATTCAAAGCCAGCCTGGACAACTTCTGGAGCCTCCCCCCAAAATAAAATTAATAAAGGGCCAGGGATCTAGCTAAGTAGCAAGACTGCTCCCTAGCATGTGCAAGGCCTTGGGTGCTATCGCCAATACCCTGAGAAAGAAAAATGTCTAAAAGGAAGGGGATTCTACATGCTCCAACTTGGATGAACCTTGAGGACATTATGCTAAGTGACACAAGCCAATGGCAAAAAGAAAAACACTGTAAGGTTCCACTTATATGAAGCAGTCAGAATTGTAGACACAGGAGCTAGGGGGAAAGAGCGGAGAGGAAGTTAGTGTTTGATGGGTACAGAGTTGCAGGGTGTGGTTTATTCTTTGAGGCAGGGTCTCATTCTACTTCAGGCTGACCCGGAACTCACTCTGTAGCTCAGGCTGGCCTTGAACACATGATGATCCTCCAACCTCAGCCTTCCAAATTCTAGGATCACAGGCACCAGCCACCACAGGCCTGTTTCAGTTTTACAAAATGAAGAATCTGGAGCTGCAGAGTGTCCATGTCATACATTATTATGTGTTTGATACCACAGAGCTGTGTGCTTCAAGAGGAAGACAGTAAATTTTATGTTCTGTGTATTTATCACAATAAAAACTAAGAAACTCATAAAAACTCATTGAAAAATAACTTTCAGGGGCATTTGAGTTTGAGTTAGGCCCCGAGACCATGGTGATACAAAGTACAGAGATTAGAAAGTGCCACCAGGCATAGTAGCACATGCTTGTAGCACATCCCAGCACCCGGGAGGCTGTGGCGGAAAGGCTGAAAGTTTCAAGCAGCCTGGACAGCAAAGCCCTGTATCAGAAAAATAAAACCAAATAAAAAGACTGTCAAAGAAAATTCATAGACTCTTATCTGAGACAGCTGACTGCCACCAGACTCCCACAGGCACAGAAACTCCCAGTTGGCACATGAGCTAACTCCAAAATCAGAGGGGCTTCATGGAGGGGTACTAAAATCAGAGTCCTGGGATAGGTCACTGCAGGAAACACTCTTGGAATCAGGACTCTGGGTGCTATTTTCTTCCCTAAGAGGAGGCTGAGGCCTTGTGGGCATAGGTATCGGTTCAAACCCCAGGGGAGCCTGTAATTTATTAAGCATTCTTTTGACCTTAAATGAAATTATTATTGTGTATGAAGTGTGTATGCGTGTGCTACTGCACATGTGGATGTCAGAGGACAAGTTTGTGAAGTCAGTTCTCCCACTTAAAATTATTTTTATTTTATGAGTGTATTGCCCACATGCAAGTGCACCAGTGTTGTGCAGTGCCCTCGGAGCTCAGAAGAGGGCACTGGATCCCCCGGAACTGGAGTTATGGACAGTTGTTGGCTGCCATGTGGGTGCTGGGAACTGAACCTGGGTCCTCTACAAGAGCAGCCAGTGCTCTTCACTGCTGAGCCATCTCTCCAGTCCCTCTCCTTCCACTTTTATGTGTTCCAAGGATTGAACTCACATCATCAGGCTTAAAAGGCAAGCACCTTTACCCACTGAGCCATCTTGGTGCCCCATAAACATTCTTCTAACGGGGCTGGAGATGGCTCAGCTGTTGAGAGTGCTACTCTTACAGTCATTGTGGTGGTGTATGCCTTTAATCCCAGTACTGGGAGGCAGAGGCAGGCAAATCTCTGTAAGACTGAGGCCAGACTGGTCTCCATAGAGTCCTAGCCAGCTCTGGCTACAGGGAGATCTTGTCTCAAAAAGACACACACACACACACACACACACACAAAGTGGTATTCTTACAGAGAACCCAAACTCAGTTCCCAGTACCTATCTATATCTGGTGGCTCACCACATGTAATTCCAGTCCCAGGATATCCAACTCCTCTTCTGGCCTCCAGGGACAGCACTCAAATGTACATACCCATACACAGACATATATACGCAATTAAAAATAAAATAAACCTTAATGCCCCCTCCCCTCCAAAAAGCATTCTTTTACATGGAAGCATGCTGATCTGGGTTTTTCTACAAAATATAAGCCCCGCTCTCTAGGACGATGGTAGAGCAGTAACTGCATGTTCCAAATCCAGATAGGGACCATCTCTGACCACCTTGTGTGGCACTGGGGGCCACTGGGACTCTGGGTACCAAAGGCAGAGAGATCTTGAACTTTACTCCAAAATAATGTAATTCAAGTCTTTGAGTAATTTTATCAGGGTGAGGTCTTCCTGCCAGTCTAGTTTGTTTTACTTACTTACTGCTTTAATTTACTTTATAAAAATTTTTTTTTTGGTCTTTTTGAGACAGGGTCTCCCTGTAGCCTCAGCTGGCCTGGAACTCACTATGTAGACCAAGCTGGCCTTGAACTCGCCTGCTTCTGCGTCTCAAGTGCTGGGATTAAAGGTGTGTGCCACCATGCCCAGCTTATTTATTATTTTTATTTTATGTGTATGAGTGTATCACCTGCATGTGTGTAAGTGCACCTGTGTCGGGTCGTGCAATGCCCTCAGAGGTCAGAAGAGGGCACTGGATCCCCTGGAACTGGAGTTATGGACAGTTGTTAACTGCCATATGGGTACAGGGAATCAAACCCGGGTCCTCTATAAGAGCAGTCAGTGCTCTTAACTGCTGAGCCATCTCTCTAGCCCCTTTTAGTATGTTTTAAGACTACATCATCCGCTATCTGCACACGTACATAAAACCGTCTGGAAGCTAACCCTGAATAGTGTTTAAGCCTGGAAACAAGAGTGGGGAGCAGTGTCCACTGTAGCGAGTCTTACATTTACTGTGAAACTTTTGTATCCCAGATGGACTTTCTTCAGTAATTTTATCAAGGTACGGTGTTTTCCCATCAAGTGAAAAGAGGCATATGGCTTGGCTTTGTATGCTCAGCAAGCACAAAGTCCTGTGCTTAAGTCCCAGCATCAAGAAATAAAATGAGAAGGCTCTGGAACTAAGGGGGGTGAACTGAGTCAATGAACTGCAGGGAGCAAGCGTGCTCCAGATATTTCTGCCTCTGCCATCGGGTAGGGACAGAACATGCAGTCATTTCAGTGTTAAATGCATCAAGCATCATTAGAGTGGTCGTCTAGCCCACACTTCTCTTTTTTGAGGCAAGGTCTTTCTATGTAGCCTAGGCTTGCTTCCAACTTGCAGCAATCCTCCTGCCTCAGCCTCCTGAGTACTGGGATTAGAGGAATGCACCACCACACCCTGCTCCACCTTTGAAGCCTATTTGTCAAAATAACTGACTAGCAACTCAGGGTGTGACCCTGAGCTCAAGGAGTCCCTGGCTGGTCCTGGATGCCTGCAACCTCAGCATTTCCTGAATGAATGACAGTCTGCCCTCCTGCCTCCTGTCTTTCGTAGCCCACCCAACTTGCAGGTCTTCTCCTGCTCCAAAAGGCGCACTGCTGCCGAGGGTAAAACGAAGCCCTGAGGCAGGCCAGGCTGACGCCAGTGGTCCCTGGAGGAGGACTTGCTACCGCCCTGTAAGTCAGGCTACCTTGGTCACTGGCCCCAGCACTTCTCAAAGGCAACATGGCTGGTGCATTGCATTCTGCCTGGGCCTGGAGGGTACAGAAGGCCTGAGGGGCCCGAGAGAGTGTATGCAGACAGCCACACTGACACCACCCACGGCTGCTGATTGTTTATTGCACAAGAAATTGGCAATACCGAGGCATGGGGCAAGCATTACACAACAATCCAGCTACCAACTCGGTGCTAGCTAGCGCAGGCCATTCCATACTGACACTTCAGTTACACACAGGTATGCACACACACGCACAGACACACATGAACACCTGTGAGCCCTATGCTTCCAGACCTTGCTGGCAGCTGGCATCCCCTTGGTGTTAGAGTTCTGGGAGCCTGGAGGAGAGGGAGTGCCATTTCACCACTCTGGTACCCCAGAGGGGCCTGTACACATGGAAGATTCCAATCCACAGCAGAATCTCTGCAGGGAAGGCTGTCAGGAGCCCTGTAAAACCAGCCTCTGTGCTGGTTTTCTGCAGTGTCACTTCTCACATGCTGATGAAGCTTTGTGTCTGCAACACAAACTCTCTCAGCTGGCCACGAGGCACTCCTTTCTAAGTGGGGACCAACTGGCCATGGGGCGCTCAGAGGCTGTCGGGGAGGGGCAGTTGCATCCACCTGGCCCTCACTGGCAGCTACCTTGCTTGGTGACTGTATCTAGCAACCGGATCTTGTCAATGAGAGGTTTGAGGGTGTCAGAGGTGCACCAAGCCACACCTGGCCTCTGAGCGGAGCCAGAACTGAGAAGCAGGTTCCCAGGAGGGGCAGATGTCTGAGAAACTATAAGATCAGTGTGGCCCCAGAATGCCTGAGGCAGCAGCTCCTTGACAAAAGGAAACAGCAGCACACCAGAAACAAAACAGAAAGCAACCCCACACACAGACACTTCAAGTTTATGTAAAAGGACAAAGTCTGGGGGTCTGTGGTTCCCCTCCCACTGACACACAGTGATGGCATGTTCAACCTTCTGTTTGTAGAAAGGGATGAGCTGGTGGCACCACATCCCTTGCTGCTCAGCCTTCTTGGCTGCAGCTTGCCAGGAAGAGGCAAAGCTGGCTTTGATGCGTTGCTCCCTCAGACCTGTGTTCCACACAAACCCCACACAAGTTCTGTGTAAGTGGAACCTCCTTTGCTGGCAGAGACTCTGGGCTTTCTTGATCTAGTCAACAAACCCATAGTGCCTAGCTCCTCACCTAACACGTAAGGCCCAGCTTCTGTGGCAGCCCTTTGGGGCGGGGGCAGGTTCCCTCACACATTCACGCACACCCAGGTTTGGTCCTAGTGGAGGGAGCACTTCTGCAGAGAGGGGTGGCCCTCTGCAACAGGTAATGGATGGGGCCAAAGGTGACTGGGGGCTTTATTCCGGACTGCCACCATCAGGTAGAAGAGAGGGGGCCATAGGGCCTCTTGGGGTCAGACTCTTCGGTCACCAGCATGATGAAAGTGTGGTCCCATGCAGGGCCAACGTCCAAGGGGGCCTCCTGAGGGCTGTGCAGCCAGTGGCCTCTCAGGCAGGGAGGACTCAGGACTACACATGTGTGCTGGGGGGCATGGAGGGGCAGCCTTGGCTACTCCTGTCCAAAGCCCTCTGTCTCCTCGATGGCATACAGCAGCTTCTCTTTCAGCTGTTCGTAGCTCTTGTAGGGTGGGAGATCCAGACGGTTGAAACTGCCAAGAAGGGAGAGGAGTATGCGTATCTGAGCCCAGGGCTCCAACAGTCCTGCCCTGGCCTGCTGCAGGAGGCGCCATAGAGCCCACCCTCAGCTGAGGCTCCCACAAACTGGCAGCTGGGCTGCTAGACACTGTCTTAGGCCTCAGCTTCAGGTCCTGGACTCTCAGGGAATCAGCACAGAGATGAACATTGCGAAAATGGGAGTCAACGGGCACCTGGGGCAGTAGCCCTTCGCTGTTGGAGCTCAAGTGCTTCCATGTATATGTAATAGGGTAAGTCCATGGCCTCAGGCAGAAGTGGACGTGTCACAGCCCTGCCTCCCCAACCCAGAACCCCTGGGCCATGGGAAGGTTGCCAGAGTCTTGGAGTTGAGGCCTAAAGCTATTCTGTGAGCTGGACCGTGAGAAGCCTGTCCATTAGGTTTCATCACATGCCACCCAAACAGGTATGCTTACCATGTGTGGCTTCGGGGCAGCCATGTTTCCTTGCCAACCTTGTCAATGCAGAATTTCTGAGGTCCGTTGCTCCCTGCCAGTCAAGGCAAAGTGCACCTTGTGTCAACAGAAACGGCTTTCCCCAAAGCAGGACCCTCTGGCTCCACCCGCACGACCCTGCTCCCCAACTTTCAGGAAGGTGTACAGTCCCTGGCCTCCCTTTCAGGCTGTCCTCACCCCAGCCGAGCAAACGTACCGATGAGTTCAGCAAATCCCCCAACAGGCAGGCGGCAGGTTCCCGTGACAAACTGCAGCAACCGGATCCTCTTCTCATTGTCCATCTCCTTCACCACCTGCAACTCCACAGGTCAAGCAGTCAAGGAAATGCCCTTAGCCGAGCACTTCACCTTAGCATGTGACTCTCCAGGCCAGGCGGGCCACAATGGGCAGAGGAGACCAACGCTAATCAGGGAAGCTTCCAAGATGCTATCTCTGAAAGGATGAACTTGTAGAACATTCCCACAGGAGACCATGGGATGCCTCTTCATCTCAGAGTCAGCTTGTGCTGGGTACTCTCTTCCCATTCAAGTTCCGCTTTTAAAAACATACTCAGAAGCTAGACATGGTGGCACAATCTTTAATTCCAGTACTCAGGAGGAAGAGGCAGACAGATCACTATGAGATCGAGGCTAGCCTGGTCTACATAGTGAATTCCAGGCCAGCTGGGGCTACAGGGAGACCCTGTCTCAAAAAACAAAACAGAACAGAACAGAACAGAACAAAACAAAACAAACAAAACCACATACTGAAGGTAGGAGTAGCTGTTTAGTAGACACAAGGCTTCTTCTGGGGAAGACAAAATGTTCTGAAAATATATACAGCTGTATAGCCTGCTAGAAGGCACTGAATTGGACACCCCAAAATATTTACAATGATGAACTGCATGCAATGTAAATTTCACCTCCGTAAAACTTCACAAATACACACATAAGAGATCTATTTTTATTCTTCTTCCATGCATGCTGTACTTCAAAACAGCTATAAACCCATATATATAAAGAAACCAGGTCATTCAATCCAGGATAGTCAGTTCACTACATTTTTCTAGAAACACGTGCCTTCCTTTCTTACCTCATCTGACTGGAGGAAACCACACAACCAACAGCAGCTGGACTTCCTGCCTGCGGCGGCCCTCTACCTCCCAGCTCCCACCAGCCAGCCTCACACTGACCACTGACAACTTCTGTCACACAGGCTGACCACAGTCTAGCCACAACAACCTCCATCCTGCCTAGAGTTGTGTTTACCCTTGACTTCTGCAAGCAGGGGAAGTGAGAGGTGTGTCAAAGACAAAGGGTCTTTGAGCCAGGGATCTAGCTAGGTCCTTGTTGAAACCATTGCCTCCAGCCCTCGGGGGGACGGGACCCAGGACGCACCTGCCAGAACCACTGGATCTGCTTGCTGTTCTTAGTGTAGTGTCTGTAGATGGTATTCTTCTGCCAGTCACTCATGTCTATTTCCTGCATGCCACACAGCATCAGCTGTAGGAGGGACAACCAGCAAGCCTGTGTCAGCAACCTGCACCACCCCTCGATATGGCAGGGCCTGGGACCCACATGGTGCCGTCCCCTCTCACCAGTAGATGAGACCCAAACATCCCCCACCTGCTACTTTTCCTAGCACTTTTTTTTGGTCTTTTTGAGTCAGGGCCTCCCTGCAGCCCCAGCTGGCTGGGAATTTGCTATGTAGACCAGGCTGGCCTCGAACTCACAGAGATCCAACTGCCTCTGCCTCCGAAGTGCTAGGATTAAAGGCGAGCGTCACCACACCTGGCTTTTTCCCAGTGCTTTGAATGCTATGGGTAACACAAGCCCTGCTCTCTAAGCACAGTACCCAGGAAAGGAATGACTGAGAGCCCAGGTGACACTACCACCTTGCTGTCTCCAACTTGCTCAAGTGTGGGGTCTGATGGGTGAGTTTCTGTGGGTGCATATGGCTCTTGGGGTCTCTACAACTTTCAACACTCACCTCCAGCTCCTTCTCGTCGAAATAGCGCAACCACTCCAGAGGGGCCACTTCGTTGAAGCCATCCAGAAAGGCTTTGGTCTGCTCTTCCACACCTCGTGTGAACCGCCAATCAGTCAGCAGCCTAAAACCAAAGACCAGCCACTGATGGACCCCAGACTGTCCTGCTTGGTGTGCTCCTGGCCTGCCCACGTGGCTGCTAGGTATGGTGGCAGCAAATTCACTGAGAGCTGCCTCTGGGCACAACTGGGCCAGTGAGCTCAAGGCCCCAGAGCACAGCCTTGGAAATGTCAGTGACTCTGAGGTAACCCCGACCTCCACACTAACTCCCTCCTCTCATCCCTCCACCATTACTGAACCTCTGACATGCACAAGTGTGGGTTCGGTGGACTAGACTAAGAAGCCCAAAGAAGGCATGAGGGGAGCTTTGCACACCAGCCCCCATGAGTCAGCAAACTGAAGAGCATTGGACACACATCCTCGGGTCAGGAGAAATGGCAACATCTAAGCTTTATAAAGAAGTTCCCAGCAGCTGAGAAGTCTCTCACATACAAACGGAGGGACCAACTGCTGGTAAGAAGGGCCCTCATGAGGCTCCAGTTCTCAAAGCTCACATCAACATGTGACTAGCCAGGCAGATGAACCCAGAGGGTTCTTGCAATCTGTGATGACTATGGACCCATATGGGGGTCTAGTTCTTTAAAGGCACCCAGAGTCAGGAGTGGGAACCCTTTCTCTGTCACGTGCCTCCCTCTCCCCTCCTCAACACCCCCAAGGCCCGAGACTCACATGATGTACTCTTCCTTGTTCTCCTCCGTGACTCGGATGCTCTCGCCACCCTCCTTCAGCTCATGGGTTGTCACCTTGCCCAGGATCTCCATGTCCTGGATGAAGAACAGCTCCAGACCACACTCTTCTAGATTGTTCTCTCTGGGACACAAGAGGCCAAGGGGGAAGATGTCCATCTTATTAAAGCACCCACCAGGAACCAAGGACTCACAGAGAGCCCAGAATCCTGACCAGTGGCTCAGCATACTTCCGAAAGAAATCTAGAACTGTCTGAAGGGGCCCTAAGAGCCACTCACCTCACAGGCCTTGGAGAGCCTAGGAAAGCACTTGGGGGGCCTCTCCGGTAGGGGAAATCAAGGTTGGGGGTGCCAACTGGCCAATCAGAACCCTGTTCCCTCAGCACAGGGCAAGCCAGGACTCACTTGATCCAGACAATGGAGTTGTAGAACTCAGGGTCAATGGACTCCAGGTCTTTCAGCGTTGGTCTTTTGTTGAGCATCCGCTTGTAGAAAGGGAGGGTGAAGCCTGTGTCGATGAACTTCCCATGGTACAGGGCCTGTGCAAGGAAGAAACACGGTAAAGAGGTCTGGCCTCCCTAGGACAGAGCCTGAAGCTGACAGAGAAGTGCTTCAAAGGCTGCCACTACCACCAACCTTCCTGAGAGGACTCAGCAGCCAGCTGCCCGGGGGGGTGGGGGGGGACGGGACTGGGAAATAAGCACCTCTGTTCTGACACAGACATAGGGACAGACTCATCCCACCCCGAAGACCACAGGGACAGGGAAGGCAGGTCCACTCCCCACCCAGCACACTGGCCAGACTGCTCCCCATCTAGGAGAGGCCTGCCCCACATTCCCAGGGAAAACTTGCTCACAACAGTTCCGAACAAGGTGGCAGCCCTGACTCACTGGCACTCTGAGCAGGTGGCACAGGCAGCCAAAAATAATGCAGACACTGAGGCTGGTGAGAGCTGGTGGCCAGCGGTGAGTAATAGTCTAGAGTTTTGCTGGTCTGTCCTTGTCGGCTGCTGGGCCAGGCAGGGCTCTACACCCAGGAAGAATGTGTCCACTTCCGCCAGAGCCCTTGCCAGCCCCTTGGTCAGGAATTTCCAGATGATGGACGGATCGTATTTAGTGACAGACTTTCACCCTACCCACCACGGCAGAGCCACAGCCCCTACAGGATCCCCTGCTCAATGTGGGTCACCACAGGGGACATGGTATGACCCTTCTCCATGGCCACACTGGGCCTCTATTTCTAGAACACAGTGTCCAAGAGCCCCCCTAACCTTGCACCAGCCAGTTCTCTACAGCTCTGATCAAAGCCATGGTGATTCCTAATTCCCTTCCAGAAGGCACAGTCAGTGTCTCAGTCACACATTCCTGAATGTTCCCTCCCATCTGTGGCTCATGACAGAGACAGGCACAGGTGTGCAATTAGGATTTCACATCCCAGCCACATCCCAAAGGCACCCACAGACTCAGGTGAAGTCCCTGGACTTCTGATACCATCAACACAAGAAACCCTCGGAGAGTCCCAGTGGTTGCTGAGAAAGCTCTGGCCTCTGCAGAACCAGCTCTAGCTTTTGGAATTTACAGGGTAAGAGTTCTGTGAGGAAGAGGACAGAGTCACACAGACTCCCAGACAAGGGCAGAGCAGAACTCTGGACCATGGAGTCTGCTGCTCAGGCCAGTGCTACCTCCTGTTGCCCAGGGCCAACTTCTCAGGGGCTGCCCTTCCCAGAGGAACAACAGGAAGGGAGGAGGGAAGCACCCTCAGGGCTAGGGGACCCCCAGGCCCCTTACCATGGCGATGAATCTGCCAATAAAGCGAAAGTAGGTGAGGTGGTCGGGGTTGATGGAGGAGGCTGGGTTGATCTGGAGGCAGTAATTATTCTTCCCGGCATATTCAAATAAACAGTACATAGGGTTGAGCACCTCGTGGGACAGGAGGAAAAACCACTCTCTGTGAGGGAAGAGAGGACAGTACAATGGAGCCCTACGCACACCTGCACAGTGGCGGGGCTCTGCCACTTTGGCCCCATTTGGAGACACGTGTCCTAGGAGGTCAGTGAGCCAGTCTGGCCCAGATCTGGGGTGAAGCAGGAAAACAACACTTGAGGGTGATCTCAGGAAAACCCGTGTGAGTGCCTGTCAGCTCCCAGGGGTGCTTTCCAGGACTTTACATCACAATATCCAGAGCTTCTGGTGGCCAAGGGCTCCTTACAGCCCCAGCCACTATGCACCACTATGTGGGCTACCTACTGTCAAAGGTACTATGGTAGCACATCACAGACTTACACATTGATTACAATGTTTCTGCTCTATGACAGCAGCCCTCCTGCTTCCATCCCACCTGGGTAGGCAGCGTAATGTGATGAATATATGGCAGCATGTCCCCAACCCCTCAACTTGTGATCACACACCTTGACCTTCATTCCTACTAGCTGCACCATAGGCACCTCACCTGCACATTGCCCTCCCCTCACCCCAAGGCCCAACACCATATCCTATCCCACACTCACATGCATTCATCTCAACCAACACCCACCCAATAGATGCCTTAGCATCTATCTGCACCCTAGGTGTAAGCCTCAAGCAAAATTCAGTGTCCTTTAGGCTTGAGCTAAACCGGCAGGGGGATTGTGCCAAGGGGGCCAGTCCCTGGCTGCTGGGCTGTTTGTGGCTGGGTAGACGGAGTCCTTCGATGCAGAGGGTGCCCCGGTATCCTGTCCGTGGTTCTACCCTGTGGTAGAACAGCATGACGTAACCTACCATAGGGTAAAACCACTGGCAGGACACAGAGAGAGACACACAGGGCGGAAGCCACACCAGAAGCCCACCAAGCACAGCCTGGAGAGGAGGTCACCACGGAAAAAAAAGAACAATCCATCCGGCAGGGCAGGGTCAACGCAGGAGGCAACGCCACCAGAAAACAGGACCAGAAGCAGGTAAGCCCAACACCAAGCAAGAAGACATCCCCCCACCATGAGGTCAGTGGGATGAAAGGTCACCATGGCCAAGGAGTTCCTCCTCTCAGCCAGGGCCCTCTGCCTGTCATCCAAGGCGGTGTTTCCCAAATAGCCTGCTGACTCTGTGGGGTGAGGGCAGCACAGTGCTCTGGGCTCTTTTTGTTGTTAGACCAGCTATTTTAGTTTTGTTGATCTGGTGTGTGTGACATGCACCAGGGATGGATCAGGGCTCCTTTGATCATGATAAGCTTAGCCACATCGGGTGTGCTTGGAGAAACCTGACTTGACCTGTGCTGGCTGCTTGGAAAAGAAAGGAGGCCTAGGAAGATTTTAAAGGATACCCAGACCCCAATATTCAGCTACTGCCCACTGATACAGCTGAACAGGTTGTTAAAAGCATAGAAAACAGTGACACGTAAACTGGCACAGAACCACATGATCTGTCACCTGCCCAGAGCAGGTAACATGACCTAGTAACCAAAGGGCTGACACCTGACCCTGCTCCAGGGCCCATGGATACAGGTCAGAGAGACCAAGTTGTTTTCTGGGCTTTTTGGTCTCAAGTAACCAAGGCTGGCCTTGAACTTACTACGAAGCCAAGGACATCCCTGAACTTCTGATCTTCTTGCCCCTACTTCCTGAGTGCTGGGATTATAGGTCTGAGCTACCCTGCTTGATGTGTGCAGTCCTGGGGATCAAACCCAGGGCCTAGTGCACGCTAGGCCAGAATTCTAAGAACTGAGTACATCTCCAGCCCAAGAGGTTAAGTGTCTAGACAGTTACCCTGTGCCCTTCCTAGAAATTGCAGGGGAACTCAGGGGCTGAAGGGCAGCATGAAGGAGGCAGCTTTCTGGTCATGGGCCCTGAGGCTGGGGACGTGGGGCACAGCATAGCCCCCTGGGCACCCTGGCTTACCTGGCGATGCCACCGTAGTCCAGGCCCTCCTCACCACGCATGATGATGTAGAGCCGGCGGCGCAGGTCGTATGGTTTCATGTTCATGATCTGGGGAGACAGGGCGTCTGGGCAGCCTGCCCCTGACCCCAGCACAGTGGGCAGGGGTATAGGAAGAGGAGGCTCTAAGGTCTATTGTCCAGAAGCTATGGTCGCTAAGGCCCATGCCACAAGACGGGATTGGGTGGTGGTAGGAAGCCTGTTTTCCCAGCATACTGCACCATGAATATTCTCTAACCTGTTGGAAAGAATCCTCAAAGAGGGTCTGCCTGGAAACGCTGATCTTCACATGGCTGGGAAGGGCATTTGACTGAAAAGAAAAGGAAAACTCTCAAACTGGGGCCTCCCAAGGGAGTCCACTCAATGTCTTTAGAGACAACCAGCCTGGGGTGCAACAAGCATCTGCACCCACCTACGACACACACACCCATCCCAAGACCTGTGCAGGGCTGATAACATTCAACAGTCCCAAGCCGGGCATGGTGGCACATGCCTGTGATCCCAGCACTTGGGAGGCAGAAGCAGGCAGATCTCTGAGTTTGAGGCCAACCTGGTCTACATAGTGAATTCCAGGACGGCTGGGGCTACAGGGAGACCCTGTCTCAAAAAATAAATAAATAAATAAAATAAAAATTCAACAGTCCCATCCCATGGGAGCCCCCAAACCAGAACTCACATGGCAGAGGAAACGGAACTGGTGATACTTCCATCGAAAACTTCGGTCGTAGGCACCAGGGGAGCCTTGTTTCGTCCTGCCAAGAGCAAAAGATGTGCTGGAATTTGATTTCTCAAAAAAAAAAAAAAAAAAAAAAAAAAAAAAAAAAAAAAGAAAGAAAGAAAGAAAGAAAGAAAGAAAGAAAGAAAGAAAGAAAGAAAGAAAGAAAGAAAGAAAAGGAGCAGCCTGTGTTACCCCAGGGAAAGCTGATGCTTCGTGAGTTTACAGAGGGGTAAAGTAAGGCAGAGAGGAGAGGAAGCAACTTCCACTAAGAGTGACAGACACGCAGGGACAAGCATCGAGGGCTGCTCTGGGGAAGTGGCATGGTCCCCTACTCCCCATCACTTTTTGTGACATCCATACACGTCACTAGAGGGAGGTGGGCAGCAGGACACACCCACACACAGACCTGCTCCTCCCCAGCCAGCTGAACAGGAGGGACTTGGCTGTGCTGGGCAACAATGCCCAGAAGATTCTTACCCTGACTCGAACCCTGGGCGAGGATCCTTAAAGGTGGTGGTGCGGGTATTGTGGTCTACAAAGTACCTCACACCCTCGCTGGTATATTTCATCTCCCACCCTGGGGGCAGGGCTGGCTCCTGGATCATCCTGGAAATGCAGAGGGGGGTTATGTGCTGGTGTGTGCTTAGGAGGCTGGGGTCCCCAAAGTGACCCCTTGTCTCTGCTTTCGCCAGGCTCTGCAAAGCTCTCTGTGGGGATAGGAGGGGTTCTCCCCTGAGGATTTGCACCTACGGTGACCCAAGTCTCGAGGAGCCAGGTCATGAGCAAAAAGGAGTCATTTACTCTCTTGGGACTAAAATGCCAGGCCTGAGTGGTGACTAGCAATCCTGAGATACCAGGTGTTCCTGCCCTGCTTCTGGAGGGTGAGGGGTACCCTCAACCTTTGGTCAATCAAATTCTGAGCACCTGCACCATCAGTATAGTGGCTAGCTGCACTTGCCTGTGCTGCTCCCTGCCCCTGCATCCACAGGAAGGCTCCTGAAGAAACCACTCTGAGCCCCCAATAGGCTGATGTGTACTGAAACTCCTGGAGTACTTGTATGTGGTAAAGGTTCCCTAGTGTTAGTGTTCTGTGGCAAATACAAAGGCCACTTTTTTTTGTATTTGGTTAAAGCTGGAGCTGTTCAGAAGCCCCCTCCTCCTTGCCCCATACTGTCCCCAGCTGGATTCCTCACCCCTGGGTCCGAGGGTCCTCCCACTGGGTAGTGCGTGTGTTGTGGTTCACGTAATACACCCGGCCGTTGTCCTGCCTCTTCTCTGCCACAGGAGAAGAAAGGAGTGCAGTCAGATCCAAGCAGCCTGTCCCTCGGCCCTCACCGCCTCTGTGCAGGGTCATACTTTCTGCTCCCATGGCCAACCTGTTAGAAAGGTTCCAGGGCCAGAGCCTAACCCACTCACACGTGTTTTTGGGAAAAAGGGCAAATAGCCTTTCCTTGCTGTGGGGCAGAGGAGAGGTACCCCCATTTCCAACTCCTTGGTTGCTTGGTCCGCCTGCCAGAAGGAAGGGTGGTGTAGCGGCACGGAGAGGGCAGGCCCGCTGAACCAGGTAGTAATTACATCCAACTGTGTGTAGCACAGACAGTCTTCCAGCCTCCTCTCAGCCTCAGAGGGTAGGACAGTCCAGGTGACTGGGAGGAAACCAGGGGCAAGGCTCCAAGCTCCAACAGGGCCACCTTTCTCCCGAAGTTTCTGAGCCTCAAAGCTGTTTCTATCCTGGCAACAAGCAAGACTAATGGCCCTCACTCTTCCAATGGCATGGTGAAGTTAAAGAAATGATGATGATTAGTTCCAGAAGCTACAGGGAATCTAAAAACTGAACAGGGGGCAGAACTGGGGAGACTGCCCCCAACCCCTGCTCCCTTCTAGAATCATGCTGGGATAGTCCCCATATCCATCTGACTCTGCCTGACCACCTATCTATTACACAACTGAAGCTTTAGAAACACAGACCTGTCAACCACTCCTCAGTGAAGCTAAGACAATGGGAGAAAGGAAAGGAGCGGGCTGGAACCTTTACAGACCTACGGTCCCCAGCTAGTGTGTGTGTCTGACCTTGGGAAGCTGTCCCCCCCACACCCCAGGGTTTCTGAGGGATGAGCTGTTGGAGTCTAGGAGCCACTGTTGTGAAGTACATCCTCCATGCGGTTCAGCCAAGGCCAAAGCTAAGCAGGGAGAGCTGTCCAGTGGGTCTGAGGCCCTGGCTATCTTACCCGGTGCTACCATTGCTTAGAGGCCTATGCACCCACCGAGCAGCCTCTGATGCGTAGTTTTGTGGCCTGGGGACAAAGACAGGCCTTCAGTAGCACAGCAGACCCTGGTTTTAGGGTGAGATAGGCTCAGGAGCATTTGTCATATACCTGTGCCAGTACTGCACAGGAGCAGATGTGGCTCTAAACCCAAAGTGTCCCAACCCCCAGAACAGTCTGCAGGGACAGCCATGAGGTCTCTGGAGGAGCAGAGGGACTTGGGACCTAAGGTGAACAGAACACCAGCAGGTCCACCACTGGCTTCCCATTTGTTCTCACCATCCCTGGGGAGGTGGCCCTTGCTACAGACAACTGGGGTTGCCAACCCAGAGCTGCAACACTGACTGATAAGCTCCCCAGCCTTTTGTCAGAATGTTTTCTTTGAACTCTTGGACGTAAGCACTCCTTTGCCTCAGCCTCCACAGAGCTCCAACTACAGACGAGGGTCACCACGCCCAGCCTAGAGTGTTCTTTTTCTTTCTGACGGGGCATTACTGTTCGTGGCTTTTCTGATGCACAGACCCTGACCAGACTCCTGTGTGCCTACCGCACATGCTCAGCACCTGGGAGCCGTTGTCACATTTCCGCAGTCGCTCTTACTGGTGACCATCATTTAGCAAAACGGCTACTGAAAGAAATTCACTGCGCCACACATGACCTGCGTGTGCACTACCAGAAACAAACACAAGTCCCGGCTTGAGGTCACTGCTGCCAAGCAGCACTGCAGACCGTGGAGCCTGATGTGCTTTCCCTGCCTACATCAGGAGTTTTACCTTCAGTCTGACCCACCAATTCCTGAGATACTGACCTTACTAGGCCAGGGAGCCAAGCAAAGCAGCTGTGTGGAGAGGAATCCTCTAGCTGAACATCAGGAATCCATGGGTGTCTTATATATTAGGTTAGAGGGGCCTCCAGGCACCCTGGAATGCACTGGGAGGGAGCTGACTAAGTCATATTCACTAAGTCAACTCCCCAAGAGTTGGCAGAACCTCTTAAATTACTACCTGGGAACAACTGCATCTGCACAGAGAGGATCTAGCCCCAAAGGAGCACATCTGCAGAGATGTTCAGCGTCTGGCGGCACTGCTCCACCTCTGCAGAGGAGTGCACCCACCCAGTTAATACCATCTGTGAGCCCACCAAACCAGCAGTTACTGTCTCCTGCCGCCCTAACTGAGACATTAAAGCCAACATCTGCCGATTCCCATGAAAAACTGCTTCTTCCTTTGGGGCCAAGGACTCCTGCAGGATTGAACTAAATCCTGCCCAGCTCAGAAAACTGCAGAATGTTCTAGGTCTTGCTATCTCTAATGCCACCTTTCTGTACAGTATACCTTCCTAGAATAGCCACGAAGCCTGCAGTCTCTCCCAAGTCATGGATGTCTGTCCCTTAATGGATGCCTGTGCCTTAACTCTTGGCAAACCACAGCAAGGACCTGGAATAGGTGAGAGGCAGCTACTGATGACAAGAGGGACCCAGCCCTGGCAACTAATTAAAAGTGCTATTCTCGCAGGATCAACACCCGGGGAACAACTCTGCTTTCCCATGGCCTCCTTCACAGTGGAGTTACAAACCAAAGTGGCCGCCACTAATTAAAATTAGGCTGAAGTTCTTCAATGCCTCCACTGCAAAGAAAGATCTGTTAACATGGCTCCTTCCAAGTAGAGCCAGAGACTCAAAGAAATCCGCATGGGCATCAGATAGGGCAAAAAATCTTAGTGACACAACAGATTCCTGAGCACCACCATGAATGAAACTCAGGTCACAAACCCAACAGTTGCTTGGGGACATCTCTCTTGGGGTCAGACTCCTTTGTGCCAGGTGACTGTGCCAGGAGAGTCCAATCACTCCCCCACCTGGCAGGATCGATCTCTGTCATTCCTCTGGCTGGGCATCCCCAGTGAGTATGTTGGGGGTAAGAAAAGTGAGAAGTAGAGAGATAGGAGTGCAGAGGGAGAGTGTGGGAGATGGAGACAGAAGGGTGTGACTGTCACCCAGAAGGACAAGAACTCAGTACTTACCCCAACCAGGAGGGAGGGGGCCCAGGGGATCATGGTCAGTCGAAGCGCTCGAAGACTAAACACAAGAAACAGTAGAACACAGAAGTTTAAAAGCCACTAGTTAAAAACAAACTGATCAAAAAAAGCAAAATGCCAACAACTTACTTCCACATTTAAGGGCTTGGTAGAGGGTGCAGCGAGGCCTTAGATGGCATCTGTTCCTCTCATTCTTTGTTTAAGAAAAATCAAAAAAGAACTCTTCGCAGAACCCAAATGAGTTTGGGACAGGATGGAGCATGGGGGAGTTAGCGGTGCACCAACAGTGGGCCACGGCGCTGGGCAAGAGCCTGGCCTGGGCATGGCAGGAGGACTCAGGAGCATGCTGCCCAGCCAGCTCACTGCCAGCCTCTGCTCAGCTCCTGCTCCCAGCAGCCAAGGCAACTGAAATCCCCACCACCTCCAACTTTCTCCAAGAACCACACACGGGAGGGGAAAAAATACCGCAGGCCTTTCCAATGAAATCATTCCCACAAGCCTTGCCCACGCCCAGGGTTTCCTGGTTGGGGCCTGGCCCTCCTCCCTACCACCTATCCTCCTTCCCCCTCCCTCTAGGCTGTGCAACATCCACCCAGACTGAGGGCACATTCATGCCCAAGCCCCTCACCTCCCCCAGGAATGTTTTCCTTCCCCTTCACAAAGCACCTTTCTTCTCCCCCTGCCTGAACCTGAAGTTGCTCAGTGTTCAGCGTTTGCCTGTCTGGGAAGGTGGGGCTGGGGCTGGGGCCGGGGTGGGAGAGAAGGGGGAAGGGGCTCCAGGACTTCAGGGTCACTGTTTACATTAGCGCCTGCTCAGCCTAATTCTGCATCGAGGTCCCAGGGGAAGGGCTGCAGCAGTAGATGGAGAAGTCTCATATCCTTTGGGAAAGGGGGGTGAGCGCTGTCAAAAACTTTTCATAGTTAAATAAAACAAGTATTGTTTCTCTCTCTCCCTCTCTCTCTCTCTCTCTCTCTCTCTCTCTCTCTCTCTCTCTCTCTCTCTCTCTCTGAAGCATTTTTATTTCACTTACTAAAATTTAATCATCAAATTAGGGGGTCAAGTTCTAAACGCAAACTTTCAGCTGAAAGCCTGGCTGGCCCCGTTGGGCCTGAAGGAGCCACACACAGGGGCAGAATGAATGGGTCTCAGTCTCAGCTTGAGCAAACACTGGTGGAGCTCCACTGCCAACGAACCCCCTCCACATCCCTCCCTCCACCCCCAACTGAAAGGACAGGGAAACTTTCTTTCCAAGGTGGTAACACAGACTCCTCTTCCAAGTAAGTTCCAATAGACATTTGTCTTGAAAGCACAGGTTCCTTGATGGATTAGGACCCCTTTCAGTGGAAAGCCTCCTGCCACAGGCATGAACAAAAGCGCACAAAGCAGAGGAAAGGCTGGCCTTGGTTTGGGGGCCGTTACTGCCGACTCCAAGGCACTTCAGATCTGCATTCAGACTGAAAATCTCCCCAGTTCTCGGGGGTCATTTGGGTATGTGTTTGATTGTTGGAAGGGTAGGGGGTGGCGTTTTGCAGCTTCTTGGAACATTCTACCAACTCTGTTTTGTAGTTAAGACTTGAGAACAGTCTCCATAAAAATGCTCAGCAACAGGAGTTAAGGAACAAATGGGAAAATGCACCTATCCATCAGATAACAGAGTCAAACAGAACATAGCGGGGAAGTACTGAGCAACAGCGATGGCTTTGCAAAAGGTGGCAGTGCTGGGTATCTGCACTCAGGAGGCAGAAGCAGGCATACCTCTGTGAGATCAAAGCCAGCCTGGTCTACATAGTGAGTTCCAAGTCAGCCAGGGTGGCAAAAGAGAAAGGAAGGAGAGAGGGACGGAGGGAGGGAGGGAGGGAGGGAGGGAGGGACGGAGGCAGGTTAGTTAAAAGAGGAGGCAACTGGCACTAAGTGCTGCTTCAGGCTCTTTGGACCATGTAGATTATGTAATAAAGTGTCCTGGACTCCAAGGGGAGATCAGCTACCAAGTGGCTTCTCCCATCTTGTACTTAACTCCATGAATCAACAGACCAAAAGGTCTTTACTGACATCATAGGCCTAGGAACAAAAATATTTATCAGCCTCTTTTCTTGAAAGGAAGTCTTACTATATAATTCAGATTGGCTTCAAACTCCTGAGTTCAAGCTACCTTTTGCCTCAGTTTCTCAAAAAGCTGTGACTACAGGCATGCAGCACTATAGCTGGCTAACAAACCCTTTTCTTAACCCTTGCCATTTTTTGCTTTGTTTTTTATAAGTCAAACTTCCTATGATGCTGGCTTTCTTTCATTACAATAGGTCTTTATTTCATGTCCTTGGTGCCCTCCAATTCTCACTGTATCACAACTCTACTCACCCCACCCTCTGTCTAGACGTCAAAGGATAGAGAAGAAAAGGCAGATTAGAGAGAGACACTGCTGAACACATGAACACAAGTAACTCATGTATTCAGAATCAATGAACACCACTGGTTATGATTTTACTGATTATAGTTAAAGCGGTATTGGATATTTCTTCCCTAAAGTGCGTTTTAAAGAAACATTCTTTATTTTTATTTTCTGTGTATGAGTGTTTAGCCTGCATGTATGTGCATGTGATGCCCATGGAGGCCAGAGGAGGGCATCAGGTCCCCCCTGGAACTGGCGTTATAGATGGTTGTTAGCTTCCATGTGGGTGCTAGGAACTCAACCCAGGTCCTCTGGAAGAGCAGCCAATGTTCTTCAACATTAAGCCATTTTTCCAGCCCTCCTAAAATACATTTTATAAAAGTAAGAAAAGAAAATACAGAAGCCAAGAAAAAAATCACAAATCAAAGCTTCCCATCAGGACCAGAAAACCAAAACCAATCCCTATGCCTTCCATAGACAACTAACTGCTCCTTCTCTGCAACACACTTCCCCTGAAATGAGGGATCCCAATGTGTCAGAAGGAGCAGAGCTGGAAAAGCATACAGACAGGATAAGGGGACAGAAGAGAGAGCTTGGAGGTGCAGTAACTCCAAGAAACAAGGCAGCATCCTTCACAAACAGGAACAACACAAGCATGTGCTGCTGAACCACTTTCCTGGGTCATGTTACTGGGGTGGGAGATCTAGGGTACAGGTCACAAGCTAGAGAGAATTCAGGTGAGTTCAAGTCTCTCTGGGATTAAGCACAACTTCCCAGAAATATTTTAAGACACGAACTCAGAAATAAAGAATGTCAAGCAAACACAGCCAAGGGCAGGGAAGGTTCTGGGAAGGCTGGAAGCATTGCCAGAGCAGAAGGCAGGTATCACTGTTTTCGGGGTATATCTGATGGACTCAGAGCAAAACCCAGGTGCCTGAGAATTCGGTCCAAGGGTTCTCTGAGGGTAAGGATGGAGCCATCTATTTGTGGATAGTACAAGCTTAGTCCACACAATAGGAACAGAATGATCTGGGTTGGTCCTCAGACCAAGGCTTTCCCCTTTTATCATTAGGACAGGACAAAGGGGGAAATGAAGACAGAGGTACCACATAAACAGTAGGCTATGGGACGGGCGCTAGCACAACACACGAGCCCGACAGCGTCCTCAGTGGACTGCAGCAGGAACACAAACAGGCCAAAGGAAATGGCAAGGGTGAAACAAGCAAGAAAATACAGGAACGCTGGTCAAGAGCAACAAAGGCACCTTAGGAGTAAAGAAAGGAAAACACACCAGAAATATGGAGAACAGTAACCCAGAGAACACGAAAAGGTGAGCGTGGAGGCAGGCGGTGGGAAGGAATGGCGGGCCGGCAGCCCGGATTCCCTTGACTCCAATTTTGAACTATATTTCATGTTCTCTGAAGTGCAGAAAAGAACAAGGTCTCAGTTTAAGCCCAGCAAGGGGAGCGGGGAGGAGGAGGTGGAGGAGAGCTGCTAGTACAGTATCAGCTCTGAAGTCTTCCGAGTCAAACCCTGGGCCAAGGCCAAACCCCAAAATAACTGTATGAAAGCAAGCCTTCTTACTTGTAACCAGGACATGGCACCATAGCAAACAAGAGGGAAAACCAACTCCAAAGGGGGGTGGGGGGTGGGAGGTAACAGAGAGACATTGAAAGCAGACCAAAAAAAAGATCACCACCACATTTTTCAGTATGAGGCCTATTTCACAGAAATCAGGTAACCAACCCTCACCTCCTCGCAAAGCCCTCCCATGTCTCTGGATAAGCTGAGGAGGAAACCATTTTAGAGCACTCAGAGAGAGAAGCATTTTTGTATTTAAATCTGACTTCTGGGAAACCCTCCATGTCAAAGTTTTACCCTGTGGGCTTGGGATGACGTTGCTAAGATGAGAGAGGCAGGCAAGAAGGAAAACTCCAGAAGAATCACGCAGAAGTAAATACCACAAACTTCCAATCCTCTCTTCAGACACCAAGCATCCTATGTAGTCAACATACACCAAGCACTTGAAGCATGGTCAAAAAGATTCCTTTCATGGATTAAAAAAAATTATTAGAGAAGTTAGATAATTAGGGAGATAAAACCATGTGAAACTCTTAAGTCTGTCCTTGCCTCTAAGTCAAAGGGCAGGCTGTTAAAAGATGCTGTAGGCCTTCCTGGACTGGGAGCCAAGACCACCCATGAGAATGGCTGGTGAGGTCTTCAGAGCCCCAAGCTCTAGAGGAAAAATTTCTGAAATGCAGGGAATGACCAGATTTTGCCCAGTTTTGAGATCTATCAGAACTGGATGCCAGTCATGTTGAGGGGTGGGCAGCCTAGCCGAAAGAATGCACAGTGCAGTACTGGGCAAGAGCCGGTGGCCCCAGGCGGTGGGATGGGCTTAATAGCTGACCTCAGGCAGTAGGCTGCAAACAGCACTTTCTGCTCATCCCTCTGACCTCCCTTTCTGCTGAGCAGTCAGCCTCTTCAACACAGGAAGGGACAAGTTTGCCAAGGGCACTGCTACTGTGGTTTATGGTGGGTGACGGAGCTCCTGCTTTGGGAAGGATACCTAGTTAAATACAATGAAACTTTGCTTAGCATCTGATTAAGATGGTATCTAATTTGAAAATAATTTTAAAAATTAACTTCCAAATAGATAAAAGTTATATGTAGTCATTAAAAATCCAGTTCAGGAGCTGGAGAGATGGCTCGGTAGTTAAGAGCACTGGTGCTCTTACAGAGGATTTGGGTTCAGTTCCTAGCACCCACATAATGGCTTGCAACCTTATGTAACTCCAGTTCCAGGGGATCCAACACCCTCTTCTGGCCTCAGTGGGCATTTATATACATGCAGGCAATACACTTAATACACATAAAATAAAAATAATAAATAAATTTCTTTTAAATCCAGTTCAAGGTCTGGAGATATAGCTAAGTTGGTAGACTGCTTGCCGACCATACACCAAGCCCTGGATTTAATCCTCAGTACCACATAAACTGGGGATGATGGCACACACTGCTAATCCTAGCACTTAGAAGGTGGATGCAGGCCAGCCTGAACTACATGAGATCTTGTTTCAAAAGGGGCTGGAAAAATGGCTCAGTTGTTAAGAGTACTGACTGCTCTTCCAGAGGACACGGGTTGGTTCCCAGCACCCACATGGCAGCTAAGAACAGTCCCTAATTCCAGTTCCAGAGGATCTGATGCCCTCTTCTGGCCTCCGAGGGCACTGTACGACATACATGCACTTACATACATGCATACAAAACACTTATACACATAATTTATTTTTTGTCTTTTTGAGACAGGGTCTCCCTGTAGTCCCAGATGGTCTGGAACTCAATATGTAGACCAGGATGGCCTCTAATTACAGAGGTCCACCTGCCTCTGCCTCCCAAGTGCTGGGATTAAAGGTGTGCGCCACCATGCCTGGCCTAAAAAATTTTTTTTAATCTAGCTCAAAACACTTCCAGCTTATAATACACCAAGTCCTGTGCTGATGCTACCAGAGACCCAACTTTCATGCTTAAGATGACCCAAGAAACTGTAATTGGAGGGCTAACTTGGAGCTCTGCCTCTCCCTGCCAAAGAACCTGGGTAGCTGGGCTCCTCTCAGCTCCTGCTCCAAGTAGGATGGAGACTCCCAGTACTCCCAGATGTCATTAGATAGCTGTCTGGAGCACCTTGAACTCTAAGCTGTAAAGTTCTGTAGGTAACGACCATGGATGGCATGAGCTGGCAGTGATGCGATGGCAGTAACATCTGACCACTCAGGTGGGAATGAGTGGCCCAGACCAGGAGAGAAGGCATGCTCGACAGAGTTCAACCTGGAGGCTCCTCTGACAGTGACAACTCAGATGGCAGGGGCCAGAAGAAAGTCAAGCATTACACAGGACACTGAGCAAGACCAAAGCTCAGCAAACCATAAGGAGCAGGGAGTAATAAATGTTTCAGACTACATAGGCCCCATCTGCCATGAAAGCAGCTACAGTCCATACAGCTTCTGGGCTTATGTTCCAATAACACTTTATTTGCAAAAAACCAAGGACTGGGAGATGGCTCACTAGATAAAGTGCTTGCCCAGCAAGGGTAAGGACTGCAGTATGCACCACCAGCATCCCTTTAAGTGCTGGGTGGGGATGGTGGCCTGACTAATTCTAGCAGAGAGAGGGGATCCTAGAGCAAACTGACTTGCTATATTCATGTCTATGAGTTCTGGGTTCAATTGAGAGACCCTGCCTCAAAGCATAAGGTGGAGATTGACTGAGAAGACTTGCCTCCTTGGGCCTACACACACACACACACACACACACACACACGCACAGTGCCCAAGCACCTGCACACTAACATATGCACACACACACATATACACGTTAATAATAATGAATTTCAAAACCAGGTGGTGCTGGTTTAGCCCCTGGGCTGTTGTTTGCCAACCCCTGATCTGGAAAAATTTTAAAGGTCCCTCATCCTTGACCACCTGTCAGACAGAAAAGGACCAAGAGAAGGGTGGGGTAGCTACTGTGATCTGGAAAGGTGAAGATGGGTAAAGTCAAAGCTGGCCTTCAGGTTTCAACTCGGGGGAAAGGGACTTGAATGGAGAAGGCTTGCAAAGAAGGCTGGTCTTTGGCAGAAACATGAGGAATCCAGCTTCAGACTTGTTGAGACACTGACCACAGGGGTGGGACTTGAGGAATTTCACTGTGGTGAGTTAAGTCTCCACAGTCACAGTATTGATATTTATGGCTACTGTTTCTCCCCCTCATCAAATGGCCTATACACAATGCTACTGTGCAAAGAGCTGCCCCCTCTGGCAGGCCCCTGCCTCTCACCTGGTAGAGGAATCTTTGGCTGAAGTGCTGCATGGCCCCCTGGAGCTGATTCCGCTGTGATTGCCATTGCTCATAGTTGCGCACATACTCGGCTGTCGGGCGCTGCCAGGTGGTGGTCCGGGTGTTGTGATCCACATAGTAAAATCTCCCCCGGGGGTCTGTGCGCTTTTCCCACCTGAAAACATGGAAGCTCACTGAGTATAGTGACCATCCCTATCCTCCCCCTCCTCCTAAATTCTAGAAAAGTCTCAGGATGTCTTAAAAAGAACATTCACACAAGGGCAAAGTGTAGAATGGGAGCTTGGATGTCTTGAGAGACACAGGAAGACAGGTCAGGATCACTGGGTAGACAGGGCAGGCAGGCCAGGGTCACTGGGGAGACATGGCAGGCAGGCCAGGGTCACTGGGGAGACATGGCAGGCAAGTCAGGGTCAATGGGGAGACACAGGCGGGTAAGGCCAGGGTCACTGAGGCTTCTGGGGCTTAGGTAACTACAGTAAGCAACCTGGGCTACAGCAACCAACCCCTCCAGTTAGCTCCTGATTTCCGGCACAGGATCCATGTTCTGGGGAAGCTGATTCTCTGCCCAACCCCAGAATTGAATAACCGACTGGGGCATGTGGTCTAGGCTAGACCGATCAAGGTGAAAATTGGGACTTCTGCTGGGAAATTTTTGGGGGAGAGGGTCTTTCATCCTTTCTGAATATGAGTGAGAAAGCACGGACCTAGGAGTCACTTGCTCAGCTACAAAATGAAGCTGGCCTAGTAGACGGCAGAGCAGAAAACCAGAAGAAAAGCTGAGACACGAGATTAAGTTTCACTGGAAATCCAACTATCTAGAACTTCCTATTACATGAGCCTTCCTTCATTATGATACTCATTTTTGTGGTTTCTTTCTCTAAAAGGGCAGATGGCCTCTCAGTGGCATTAATCTCCTAGTCATAGCGCTCCTTTACCCGTTCTCTGAAGAGGATGACTGTATGTCGATAACACACTGCACTCCAGTGTTATCCTGAGCTGTCTTCCCCGTTTCCTCTAGGACCTCTGATGCATGAGTCTGGGCAGGGGGGTGAGGGGGGTCCCATGCATCCTGATCCACACCTTATTTCTCAGCTTCCTCTCACTTGGTGGAATAAGTCATACAGTAATTTCTGAGTAAAGGGCTCCAAAGTCAGTTTCTTGAAACCCAGCATGTCCAGGGAGGCCTTTATTTAGTCCTTCACACTGGACTATTAAAACAACTAAAAGATGATTTAAAGACCAATTTCAAGACAGGAAGCCATTTCCATCAACGTTGTGATGGCCCCACTTTACAGATGATGTGGCATTCCTGACTCCCACTCCTTTCTGTGTACCCTATTTTCTCCCTCTGGAAGCTTCCAACATCCTTTCTTGGCACTCTGAGATTCCATTAGATGTGGCTTGGGCGGTCTTCATTTTCCAGGCTGAGCACTGGCTGTGGGCCCTGTAAGTCTGGATACTACGCACTTCCATTTTGAAAACTTTCTTCGTTAAAAAATTTCTTTATAATATATGTGCGTTGTGTTTACGCACGCCATAGCACACATGTGGAGGTCAGGAGACAACTTTCAGGAGTCTGTTCCCTCCTTCCACTATGTGGGTCCTAGGCATTGAACTAAGGTCATTAGGCTTGGCAGGAAGCACCTTTACCTACTGAGCCATCTTGCCAGACCCCTGTTTGGTAATGCTCTATTTTATTGATCAGTTCCTATCCTCTGCCTCTCCACTCTTTCTGCTTTTTCCTCCTCTTCAAATTGGATCCCCTAAACTGATCTTCTAACTCCCATCTCCAAACACATCTTTCAACCTTCTACTAAGGATTTTTTTGCTATTGTTGTTTTTAAATTTTAGTTTTATTTTGAGTGCATGAGTGTTTTGCATCACCTGGATGCAGTGCCCACAGACGCCAGAAGAGGGCATCGGATCCCTTGGAATTGGAGTCATGGTCAGTTCTTAGCTGCCATGAGGGTGCTGGGAACTGAACTCCAGTCCTCTCACAAGAGCAGCCAGTGCTCTTAACTGCTGAGCCATCTCTATAGTCCCCTGAATTTTTCAAACTTCCAAATAGCATAATCCCCCATTTATTTTCTATTAAATCTTATGCATATTCATAATCTTTAAAAGCAGAGCAGTGGGTAGAGGCTTGGTCAGCCTGTTCACTGTCTTTGGCTCCAATGAGCATCTCACCAAACCCAAGGGCCTCACTGGGCACATGTGGCTTTACCCAAAACTTTTACTCCAGAGAAACCGCACCATTCCCTACTTTCATGCTTCATATTCCCACATGCACGCCGGCACCTCCACTGGTGCCATCTTCCTGTTCCTGTGTAATCCGGTCCTTCCTGCAAGTGTTTGAGCCACTTCCTGTGAGGCTCCCCTGACCCTGACAATCTACGGTGATCCCTCTAGTTCTGGTCTGAGCACTGCTTAAGAATGACTGAAGAGTGCATGATGCACCCTTGACTATCAGGTCCAATACTTTGTGCTCTGGGATAAAATGACTGGGCTGCATCCATGCTGTCACAAATTTGCTCTAAGGGTGCGGGCCATGATAAAGTAAATCCTTTGACCCAATCTTGCTCCTTGGTGACTAGGTATGCTAATGGCTTCATCTGAAGTTTCAAAGTTGCTATCATTGTAGCTTACACTCCCCTGGACTGAGACTTGTCTCCTTAACTGCATTCAATGATTAAATGTGTTCAGTGGCTCTTTCTGGACTCTCTACTACTACACAGGGAAACAAAAGCCAGAGGCTTAAAGCTCTTCACTTAAAATTCAGAAATAACAAAAAACTATGTTGGGTACAAAGACAATGCATCTACCAGAACATTAGAATTATCGGGGGTGGGGGGCTGGGGACATAGCCCTGTTGGCAGAGTGCTTGCCTGGCATGTATGAGGCCCTAGTTTCACCTCCAGTGCTGCATAAACCAGACAAGTGGTGACACCTGTAATCCCAGCACATGGGAGGTTTAGAAGAAGGAAGATCAGGAGTTCAAGGTCAACCTTGGTTACATATTAAGTTTGAGATCAGCCTGAGTGTGCTGGATAGCTTTAGTGTCAACTTGACGTACCTGGGTTGAGGGAGCCTCAATTGGGGAATTTCCTCTATTGGGCTGGCCTGTAGCCATGTCTGAGGGGCATCTTCTTGATGAGTGATGTGGGAGGGCCCAGCCCACTGTGGGTGGTGCCACCCCTGGACAGGTGGGCCTGTGTTGCATAAGAAAGCAGGCTGAGGAGGGGCCGGGGAGCAAGCCAGTAAGCAGCGTTCCTCCATGGCCTGTGCTCCAGGTCCTGCCTCCAGGTTCCTGCCCTGAGTTCCTACCTTGGGCTCCCTGATGAACCTGGGAGATGTAAGCTGAATAAACCCTTTCCTCCCCAAGTTGGTAGCGGTCAGAGTATTTTGTCACAGCAATGAAGAGACAAACTAGGACACTAAGTTATAAGAGATTCTGTCTGAAAACATAATCAACAGTAAAAACCTATCCCGGAAAGAAGCCTGATCTTAACACCTAGAGGACAATGAACCCCCAGCCAACCTTAGAGCCCCATCTTTGCTTCAACTCCACCCAAAGGCTCATAAGATTGAGGTCTATACACCCTGTAGACCAGAGCGTTCAGAGAGAGCAACAGTGCACTTACTAAATTCAAGTGTGTAACACGTACGTTAACGTTCATGATTCATCTATGACACAACTAGAGAAATCTAAATGTTGACTAAGGGTTTGATGATATGGAAGAAACACTGCTAATGACATCAGAGTTTTACTTTAATAAGGACATATTTTTAAAAATATTTTATTATTTTATTTTATGTGTATGAGTGTATTGCCTGCATGTATGCACTCATGTTGTGCAATGTCCATAGAGGTCAGAAGAGGGCACTGGATCCCCTGGAACTGGAGTTACAGATAGTTTTAGGTGCCACGTGACTGCTAGGATTTGAACCCAGGCCCTCGGCAAGAGCAGCCTTAACCACTGAGCCATTTCTCTAGCCCCAAGCACATATTTTAGAAGTATGCACTGAAATATGGATAAATGATATGATTACACCAGAGCAGGTGAGGAGGGAGGATAAGGGCTATAGATCACAAACCAGGATTTTTTTCCTATAGCCAGTCTGTGAAGCTTTGGGAACCATACAGTCTCCTGCAGTGGCTTGATCCTGCCACTGATGCATGAAAGCAGCCATGAAAATCAAACTCAGCACTTGGAAGGCTAAGGCAGGAGAATCACCACAGGCTCAAGCACAGCGTAGAGTCCTTAAGTGAGATATAGTGTGCTCCAGAACAGCCTAGGCTATATAGTGAGAGGCTAGCTCAAAAAAAAAAAAAAAGAAAGAAAAGAAAAAAAAAATCAAGCAAGCAAACAGCAACAACAACAGAAAAAAACTCTCATAACATCAGTGTAGCTCAGTGATTGAGCACCAGCCACCATGTTACAAGGCCCTGGGTTGACTCCCCAGCACTGGAAGAAAAAAAAAGAAGAGGAGGGGAAGGAAAGTCAAAAGAAAAGAGGTAAGAAAAGCCAGTGTGGCTGCGTTCTAGTAAGATTTTATTTACAAAAATAGGCAGCAAGCCAGGCTTTCTCCATGACCATGACAATGTGCCAACCCCTGGTAGAGACAAAACGAAACCAGCCAGGAGTTGACCCTTACTGAGAACTGACTATGTGGGGTCAATTAAACAAGTCTCTCTGCTTCACACATACCAGAAATATGCCATCATTTCCACAATAAAATGTGGAAACTGGGGGCTGGAGAGATGGCTTAGCAGTTAGGACCACTGACTGTTCTTGCAGAAGACCTGGGTTCGAATCCCAGCACCCACATGGCAGCTAACAACTGTTTGTAACTCCAGTTCCAGGGGATCCGACAGCCTCATCTGACCTCCGCGGGCATTGCACAACACGGGTGCACTTACCTACATACAGGCAGTACACACATACACATAAAATAAAAATAATAAATAAAATTTTTTTTAAATGTGGAAACTGAAAAACAAGTAAGAAGTCCACATTTAACCCTAGTGGTCTTCATGTGACTGCAAGACCAAGCGGGAAACAGAGCTAAGGATGGCAAATGACTCCACTCCCAGGTGAGCGGGCAAGGAAGACAAGGAAAAGCCCAGCATCCTCCCAGAAACAGCCCATCTGTGGAAATCTGTAGAGCCAGGTGAGGTGGGGTTCACTTGGCAGCTAACCCTAACAACACAGGGCTATCCTGAGGGCGCCCAGCTCTCCTTTCTGTCTGCTGACTCACAGACGAGTTGGGGGTGATGTTTGGGTTTACTCAGGAGCCCTTGGGGCAGTGCTGCTGAGGGGCGAGTCTTTCCTGAGCTGAGCAAAGAAAGACATTCCCTTTTGCAAGCTCTCAAGACCAGGAGATGGTGGAAGGAACTTTCTGTCCCTGGCAGACAGGGAATCAAGCCCTTTTCTACTTGAACTTGGAATCTTCCCCTACTTGGAAGTCTCTCTTGGCCTTTGCCTTGAAGAGTGGTGCTTTCACCAAGCCCTGCTGAATGGGGAGTGCTCTGACTTCAGCAGCAGGGGGCAATGCAGCCATCCTCTTTCTTTCCTTCCTTCCTTCCTTCCTTCCTTCCTTCCTTCCTTCCTCCCTCCCTCCCTCCCTCCCTCTTTCTTTCTGTTTTGTACATGTGTATGTGTGATGTATGTGTATATACATGTTCATGTGTGAGCAGTAGCATGTGCAGGTGTATGCAGAGGGCAGAGATCAATATTGGGTGTTTTCCTCTATTACTCTTCATTTTATTTATTTATTTTTGCTTTTTTGAGACAGGGTCTCCCTGTAGCCCCAGCTAGCCTGGCATTTGCTTTGTAGACCAGGCTGGCCTCAAACTTACAGAGATCCACCTGCCTCCGCCTCCTGTGTGCTGGGGTTAAAGGTGTGTGCCACCTCACCTAGCTCTCTACATTATTTTTTGAGGCTGGGTCTCACTGAACCTGGAGCTCACCAATTCAGGTAGACTGCTGGCTCGCAAGCCCTAGGAATCCTCTGGTCTCTGTCTCCTAGTGCTGGGACTACAGGGGAACACTGCTGTACCTGGCTTTTTATGGCGGTGCTTGGGATTCGAACTCAGGTCTTCATACTTGCACAGCAAGTACTTTACAAAGGAGTCATCTTCTCAGTTCTCTTTTTCTTTTTTAATATTTTATTTAATTTTATGGGCATGAGTGTTTCGCCTTTATGTAAGTGTACCACCTGTGTATAATGCCCATAGAGGCCAGAAGGGGGCATTGGATCCCCTGTAACTAGAGTTACAGATGGTTGCTAGCCACCATGTGGGTGCTGGGAAGCAAACCCAGGTCCTCTGCAAGAGCCACCAGTCCTCCGGTTTGTTTGTTTTTTTGTCTTTTTGAGACAGGGTCCCCCTGCAGCCCCAGTTGTCCTGGAACTCACTATGCAGACCAGGCAGGCCTTGAACTCACAGAGATCCACCTGCCTCTGCCTCCCAAGTGCTGGGACTACAGGCGTGCACTACCACACCTGGCGCAGCCAAGTGCTCTTAACTGCTGAGCCATCACTTGCCAGCCCCTCAGCCCTCTTTCTTAATTGGCCTCCCTACATCATTTTTCACTCCCAGGATTCTCTAAAAATTCTAGAATATCCTAAGAACAAAAGCTGAATTCAGGTACTGGCTAGGAAAAGCAATCAAATGACCCAGGGGAAATGTCTACTGCCTCTGAAAGAAGTGACTGGATCCCCAGCCCTAATCCCCAAGGATGTCTCCATATGATGTATGGAGATGACGAAGGCTACCAAGACCCCAAGGCCCAGGAGACTACCCCAGACCTCTTGTCCAGGACTTAAGGGCCCTGTCTGCTCTGAATATCACATAGTAACAACTGGCCACCAGTCATGGCCATATGAGGAAAAAGGATAGAATGTAGACAGGGATAACTGGAAGGAAGGGCAAAGAAAGAGAGAAAAGACAAAAATCAGACAGGGAGGGTGGAGACGCCCGTGGGTGATGTGGAGATGCCCGTGGGTGACGTGGAGATGCCCGTGGGTGACAGGGAGAGTGGAGATGCCCGTGGGTGACGTGGAGATGCCCGTGGGTGACGTGGAGATGCCCGTGGGTGACAGCAAGCAGTGCAAAGCCCACAGGACTTGTGGGCTAACTTACCCTGGAGGAAGAGGCCGCTCCCAGGTGGTGGTCTTGGTATTGTGGTCAACATAATAGACACGTCCATTGGGGAGCTCTCGCTGTTCCCATCTGGAAAATAAAGCCAAAGGAAGCATGGCAGACAACTGTCAGGCACAGTCCCAGTTAGAATGGAAGTCTGTCACTACTGATGCACTCATTTAAAGGAAAAACCAAACACATTGTTCAAGGTCAACCCAGTATTACACCAGCTCGGTGCTGCTGCTGGAGATAGCATCCAGGATACAACAGTAGTGTCCCTTTATGGGATCAGTGTATACTAGAACACAGCCTAGACTACTGTAAACTCCCCTAAGCATCCAGGAGTCTACTTTCCAGAGATTTTTCTTTTTAAGTTTTTTAAAAAAGATTTTATTTTTATTTTTAAATACATGTATGTGTGTCTGTGTGGGGGTACGTGCACGTGAGTGCAGGTGACCACAGAAGCCAGAGGAATGAAAGTCCCTGGAGTTACAGGCAGTTGTGAACCACCAACATGGGTGCCAGGAACTGAACTCTGGTCCTCTGCAAGAGCAGCAAGTGCTCTCTACCGCTGAGCCATCTCTCCAACCCCTTCATGGATTTTTTCATGAACATTTTTCAAATCAGTGCTTTTTGGCTATTTCAGGGTCAAAGATCCCTTTAAGAATATGATGAAAACTGAGGGTCCTAACCTTCCAAAATGTACTTACAATTGGCATGTAATTTCTGGGTTTCAAGGACCTCTCCAAATGTTTATTTATAGACCCCGCCTGCCTTTTTAAGCTACCACAATCCATTAAAGTCGAAACTTCTATCCCTGGCCCTCCCTGCTCTCCTGCACTGTGCATATTCATGGTGGCATTTATGTTTTAAATGTATGATTCATTAGCAGAGGGTCTTTCATAAAAGCTTCAGATGGATCCAGGGACATGGCAAACTGTTATCTGTCAACTGAGTTTCAGTCTGTAAGTTCATGTGAGACTGGGATGCTGATGGTGGCTCCTCTGTGCTAATGAAAGGAAGAGGGGCAGCGGGGGACTCAGAATCTACAAGCGAGCAGTACAGATACACCACAGTCCCACTCAGGCATGGTCTGGCAAAGAGCCGGCTTCACCAGAATATAGTAACCTATACATAAGGACACACAAGCTTGATACAGTGCTTACTATTTTATAAGGATGTAAATGGTTCCACAAGCCATTATGGTTTTCTTCGGGTGGGGGAGGAGGAGGAAAGGGGGAGGACCTGGGCTCACTATGTAGCCCTGGCTGGCCTGGAACTCTAAACCAGGCTGGCCTAAACTCAGAGATCCACATGCCTCTGAACCCCAAGTGTTGGGATTAAAGGCATGAAACACCACACCTGAGTGAGCAACTATGTTTTACACTGACTTCATTTACTTCTACTTTGGGGAACTGCCAGGAAGAACCTGGCCTTTTCTGGGGTGCTATTGAAATGCTTGTGTTTTGTTTGTTTGTTTGTTTGTTTTGTCTTTTTGAGACAGGGTCTCTCTGTAGCTCCAGCTGTCCTGGAACTCACTATGTAGACCAGGCTGGCCTCGAACTCACAGAGATCTGCCTGCCCCTGCCTCCCAAGTGCTGGGATTAAAGGCGTACACCACCACGCCCAGCTGAAATGCTTGTTTTTAATTTTATTATTATTGTAGGAATGTGTATGATGTGTGTGCAGACATGCGTGTGCCATGGTGCTCATGTGGAGGTCAGAGGACAACTTTGTGGAGTTGGTTCTCTCCTTCAGCCCTTTTACAAGGGTTCTGGGGATCAAACTCGGGCCATTAAGCTGGTACGACAAGCATTTAATTTGCTGAGTCACCTTACCAGCCCTGAAATACTTGTTTTGAAAATGTAAATCTGTTCTAATGTGACAGTACATGAGAGAATGAGGTGAGCAAGATGTGAAGGTTGTGCTTCGTGTTTTTATCTGTGAGAAACACTGTGAACACAGAAACCCCCAGTTAAACCTGCTCATATGGAAATACTCAAAACCCACAGGAATCCACCAGCTGCCTCAGTTTACCTCAAGTTAGCTACCAACCACACTGCCCACATCTGAAGCCACATTCCCCATCTCATCAGATGACCCTGCATGGCCCACTTCACAAAGCCTACAAGCCTCGACCAGGCCAACACCTGCTTCCCCAGCATATGACATCATCGTCTAACATGTAAAACTTTGCTGCTCTTATTATGTTCTTAGTTTTTTGCTTTTGTGGGGTGTAGTGTGTTTGTGTGTGTGTGTGTTTCTTCAGTCACTGACAGGTTTTCTGAGGGTTATATCTCCAATCCATCTTTTCCCATAAGCTTTTGCTGCATGGTTTTGCATAGCATGGTGATTTTTAGGACTGCTTAGGGTATAGCAGCATTGGCTATATATGGAAATAAACATCCTAACTTCTATTATTAGGCCCAGTGTTCCTACACTGACAGACATTTGCTGTACTTAACACCATTTTTCATTTAAATAGTGATGTCTGATCAGGATATTGTACTGGTTAGTCCCTAGAAACAAGCTCAGAAACAGAAATATGTGAGGCTTGGGGATTTGTACTGTTTTTGAGACAAGGCCTCACTATGGAACCCAGGCTGACCTACTCACTTTACAGTGAAGGTTGCCCTCAAACTTGTGACATTCCTGCCTCATCCTTCCAGGTTCTTGTTGGGATTATGGATGAATGTCACCATGGCCCAGATCATGAGGTTTTTAAGGCAAAGAAGTGGCACCTTTGCCCACTGAGAATCTGCAAGTGGCTATGGACTAATGTTTTATGTTGTGCAACTCTGGCCATCATCCTTTAACATGGGAATGCCATCACCAACAAGGAAACTGGGGTCAGAGAGGCCCATTATGTTTTATATGGGACTCATAGTCAGCTCTGCCCGCTAATGCTATGAGTCTTACCACATTTTAAAATTTTATTTTATGTGTATTGCCTGCATGTGTTTAAGTGTACCCATGTTATACAGAGTTTCACCACATCTTGATAAAAGGAAGAAGGGGTGCAGATTAAAGTTTAGAAGGGCCTTGCTATGCTGGAAAGAAGGTGCCTTCCCAGTCCAAACCTCCAAGTGAACAGGTTTCCCTTAGCATTGTCATTGAGGGAGGGGGCCCTACAGAGTCATCATGACTGGGTAAACACTGGGGAGCTCAAAGCCAGCCTGGTCCAAACAGTGAGTTCAAGGTCAGCCTGGACTGCATAGCAAGACCCTGTCACATACAAACATAAGACTAAGGTAAGACTAACGGAAATTAAAGCAGGTTCATTTCTAGACTCCATCTTTTTTTAATGTGTATGAGTGTTTTGCCTGCATGTATGTAAATGTACTACATGGGTGTAATGCCCATGGAGGCCAGAAGAGTGTGTTGAATTCCCTGGAACTGGAGTTACAGACAGCTGTTAGCAGCCACGTAGGTGCTGGGAATCAAACCTGGGTTCAATCTGGAAGAGCAGCCGGTACTCTTTTTTTCATAATTTTTTAAAATAATATTTTTAAAATATTTTATTTATTATTTTTATTTTATGTGTATGAGTGTATTGCCTGCATGTAGGTTAGTGCACCCATGTCATGCAATGCCCTCAAGAACAACCAGTATTCTTAATTGCTGAGCCATCTTTCCAGCCCCAATAAAATATTTTTTAAAAGAAAGCAGGAGTGTGATTAGGATACAAAGGTCAGTCTTTTGGGCTTGGTTAAAGCCCCTGATACTCTGAAGACTTTATTTTGTTTCAGCTTTTTGAGACAGGGTCTCCCTGTAGCCCCAGCTGGCCTGGAACTCCCTGTGTAGACCAGGCTGTGCACCCATGTCATGCAATGCCCGCAGAGGACAGAAGAGGCCATCAGATCCCCTGGAACTGGAGTTACAGACAGTTGTTGGCTGCCATGTGGGTCCTGGGATTCGAACCCAGGTCTTTTTCAAGAACAACCCGTGTTCTTAACTGCTGAGCCATCTCTCCAGCTCAGCAGCCAGTACTCTTAACCACTGAGCCAGCTCTCCAGCCCCTCTGGACTCCATGTTAATCCTGCTCAGATAGGATCTACAAGAAGAGTTGGATACTACCATGATGAGGGCCAGCTCTGGGGAGCAATGATGTCTGGTGGTGCCAGCCCCCCCCCAAAAAAAGGGTCAAATACTGGGTTAAGACCAGAGTTCTGGCATTATAAGGAAAATACTACATAAATACAATAGCTTATTTGAACAAAGAACTGTTCACAAATCGAATGGCACCAGAACCAGAAAAGGTTCAGAAAGCTGGCCCTGCAGTGTGAGCAGGGAGCTTCAATATACCAACATGGAAGCAGGTATAGACCTTGGCAGCCACAGCCTGGCTTCTGCCTTATTTGGTATAGTCTGCCTCCAATGGCTAAACCCCCAAATACCTATTACAAAAAAAATACTCTTGGGGCTGGAGAGTTCATTAAGCAGTTAAGAACACGTGGCTGCTCTTGCAGAGGACTTGAGTTGGTTCCCAGCATCCACATGGTGGATCACAACCATTCATAACTCCAGTTCCAGGGGATATGATGCCCTCTTCTGGCCTCCACAGGCATTATGTGCACATAGTGCATTTACATACATGCAGGCAAAACATACACATTAAAAATAAATAAGCTTTTAAAAATACTCTTAAGCCAGGCATGGTAGCACATGCCTTTAATCCCAGCACTAATGAGGCAGAGGCAGGTGGATCTCTGAGATCAAGGCCAGTCTGGTCTACATAGTGAGGTCCAGGCCAGTTGGGGCTACAGGGAGACCCTGTCTCAAAAAAACTACCACCAACAAAATCTTTGCCTTCTAGAAGTCCTTCTTACAAAAGACAGAAGAGGAATAAGAATTGTCATCTCCAAGGCTGGTGTCCCCTGTAGGGACCTGAAAAGGACTCTGAGTAAAGAAGTCAGGCTGACACACGTGGCTGCAGGAGTCTCTTCTCTTCCCTGTCTCACAATACTGTCTGCTGGTGGGGAGTAGCAAATTCAATGCCCTCAACATTTATTTATTTAGCATGTGTATGTACATGGGTGTGCATGCACGTGTATGCTAATACTTGTGGAGGCCAGAGGTTGATGCTGAGT